AAAGAAAAAAGTTCATTCATGAAACCAAAGATACCTTGTACCTTTCCTGTGCTTAACCTTAATTCCCTGTCTAAAGTAATAATTAAAATTCTTTTATAGTATTTTGTGATTTTTTAGTGTGTTTTCATACTGGAAGAGGAGAATAATACATTTATTAAGCACCCACTTTTTAAAAGGTAGGATAATAGATACCTTCTGTACTTTGTCTCCTTTTTAAATTATGAGATAAGTGATAATTTTCCCCCATTCAGAAGTTCAAAAGTAAGATTACTCTGCGCTGGCATTTGAATAAAGTTGTCTGTGTACTTCAGAATATTCATACCGCCTGGTCACCTGGCTCAGTGAAAGCCAGAATAAAACTAAATAGTATAATTGCATGATTATATTATTAGAGTTTGGGGGCAAAAGCCCTGGCTCCAGGGGTCTTGACATGCCACACTGTGCCATCAGTTTCATAACTCCAATCAGGAAGACATTCAGTGATAAAGAACAGGGAAGGAGATTTACTAAGCATGTCCATGTTGGGAAACACAGATAAAGGGTTCAAAATCCGTCTTGAAGGAGCTGACAGAAATTTTGGGGGTTTATAGAAAACAAACAAACAAAACCACAAAGGGTGTTTATAGCAGGGAAGTCTTAACCTAGGTAGGTAGTTAATCTGGTAAAGCCATAGTCTTATTGATTGGGGACTTAGGACTGCTTCTGTGATATCCTGGGAGAGCCATTGTCACTTGAGGGGTTAGTTTGGTTCCTTTCCTGAGATGATGCTTCCTGCTTATAGGGTACAACCTCAGTTCCACTTGGGAGGTGACCTCATCATGAGGTAGTCTGCAAAGCTTTGTTTTTCCTGGAATATGAGGTGGCTGCAGGCTTAAGATAATATCTTAGTCACTTTTCTTGTTGCTGAGACACACTACCAGATACCTGCAATTTAAGGGAGGCAAGCTTTATCTGGGCTCACATTTCAGTCTACATTCAGCAGCTCCAAAGAAGAAATAGCATGGTGGGAGAGTCTGGTGGAGGAAAGCTGTTCACCTCATGGCAGCCAGGAAGCAGAGAGTGAGGGAAGGTGGAAAGGCCTCTTTGAACCAGGCCCCACCTCCTAACAGCAAGTCAGCTATAATTCTCTCATAATACAGTCACCCTGGAAAGCCTCATCTGTGAGCACATGCAGCTTTGTGGGGGGCATCTAGGTATAAATCATAACAGACAATGACCAGACTTCAAGGCATCTCTGAGGGGGTGGGTGGTGGTGAGTAGTTAGACATCATAGGAGCTGGCAATTGGATATCCCTGAAAAGTTACTCTTGTCTTGGTGTCCTCAGTCTTGAAGGGAGGTAAGACAGGGTAAAATTTAGAGCTAATAAAGCTTGTATTATAGTTTTTAGTTAGACACTACTTAAATGGTTGACATACCTACATACAGTGCTGAATGGGAATCTGACTGAAAGTTTTAAGGCAATAAAACAGATGAAGGCAAGTTGCCAAACTTTACTCTGCTTTTAGTTACCCAATGAGCATCCACCTGTAGGTTCCAAAGTCCCTGATACAATTATTCCCTTGAAATTTCTATTTTGTTAAGCTTTGATTACTGTTTCTTAACTAGTTCAGAATGTTCATAATAACTGAAACAGTTCCATAGCTGCAAAATAAATTACCCTAAAATGTAGTAGTATGAAACAGTTGTTTATTTTCCTTTTGTATTCAGTGGGTCAGCAATGCAGACTGAACACAGCCGGGATGGCTGGTTAGTTCTGTGGTATAGCATCAGACTGCAGCTGAAAGATTGGGTTCTAAAATCAGAAGGCCGTTCAACTCACATGTTTAATGGTTGATGCTGATTGTCACCTAGGTGTCTCAGTTGCTCTGTACAGGGGCCTGCTGATGTTGTCAGTGTAGTTAAGGCTTCTTTACAGCACAGTGGCTAAGTTGCACAATTGATAGTGGGGACAAGGGAGGCTAGCCAGAGGCTTTATTTTTTGTGTAAACTACTTACTATCTGAATCACACAGTATCAGTTCCTGCCACATTCTGTTGGTTGAGTAGTCGCAACTCCAGCCCAGATTCAAGAAGAGGGAACAGCAGACGTTCAGTGTGAATCATCCATATCTCAGTAAGACTACCACCCACATGGTAAGAAGAACATATGGGACAACGTGTACATATTAATACAGCCATGTTTAGAAAATATAGTTGTCACATTAATTTCAAATTAACCTGTGGAAAAGATCTTACAGATCACGTTACTGACAGAAATTATACGAAGCACAGTAATAGTATAGTGTTATGTCTTGTGTAGTTAAACTAGACCAGTGATGGCAAACCTTTTAGAGCTTCCAGTGATACACAGCCTGCGGCAGCACGTGTATCATAGGTTCGCCATCCCTGAACTAGAGGGATTAACCACACCAGACACATCAGTGAGCCAAAAAATTCGTAAGTCCTTCCTGCTGTGCTGGGATATTTGATCTATTTTGAAGATTACTTACATTCTACATTATTACAAAGGGCAAAAGATGTGTGAAGTATTACATTAAAATATTGACTCAAGGAGCCAGGGATTTGGCTCAGTGGTTCTGCTGTCCGCCTCGCAAGCACAAGGGCCCGAGTTCAAATCCTGTTCCAAAAAAAAGCCATAAAAATACTGACTTACTATAAAACCAAAAGGATGATCAGCATTTGAGTAAAATGCTAGCAATATTTTCATTGGGAAAGGGCACTGGTTTTGACTTTACCTAGTCAAAACGGTCGACAAACTACAATTGACAGGCAAAATCCAGGCAACCCTATTGTTGTAAATAGTTTTACTGGAATACAGGGGCACTCCTTCATTTATATATTGTTTTTGACTGCTTTGTCTACAGTAGCTGAGTTGAGTATTTGCATCAGAAACCATATTGCCACTAAAGCCTAACATAAATTGCTGTTTGGCATTTGCCTAAAGTTTACAGACCTTTGGTCTAGAAAATCAACTATAGTACTGTAGTTGGAAACAATCTGAAATTCTCCCTATTTGAAGCTGTGGTGTTTTGTTTTCTCTCTCTCTCTCTCTCTCTCTCTCTCTCAATAAAGGGCAAGAGCTAGGGGAGTGGGTGAGAGAGAAATGCAGAGAGGTGGGGACGGGAGGAGTCCAGAGTGAGTGAGAGAGATGGGTGGGGAGAGCCAGTCAAAGAGAGACAGAAAGGGAAAGACAGACAGACAAAGGTAAAGAGACTATGGCTCTGGTTTTAACCAATTAATTTAACAAACATGTAAGAACTAGATCAAGGGCTAGTATTGTTGGGGAGTCAGGCGGTGCTTTATTACATACTACAGTGTTATGAATGCTACTATTTTACAGCTATGCAAAGATTTCTTTCTCAGAGAAGAAAATTACTATGGCTAAAGATTGACATGATTCCGAGGAGGCTCCCTAGGAGACTGATGCTAATTAGGCTCTTGCAAATAAGTAGAAATTTAGAGGGTGAAAAAGTGATAAAAGAACATAGACATAGGTAAAAGTGTGAACAGAAGTGTATGGAGTAGCTTTTTTTTTTTTTTATGCTTAAGGGTACTAAAGTAATTTATTATAGCTAGAAAGTAAGATGGAATTGGGAAAGTAATGAGCAGTAGGGCTGGCAGTGATCATTTATGCGCCTGAGTCAGGAAAATATTTGAAAGTTCTTTAAGAGACAGAATTATGAAAATGTGTCAGCTAATAGGTTGTGAGAATGCTGAACAAAACATGTAGGATGACGTAACTGGGAAACGAGGTGGTCAAGGAAATAATGCCATTTGACCAATACATTAGGAGGGCTAGATTTCAGGGAAAAACAGATAAATTTCACTGTTACAGATTTTTAAAGTTTTAATACATATACAAGATCTAAATGAGACATCACATGGGCTTTTAGCTTCAGAACCTGACTCCCAAGATCAAGACTTGGAGAGTTTTCAGGAAATGGTAAAGAAACCATGGTAAGGCAGTGGTCATCCATAGAAACTGTGTAAGGTGAAGATAGAGCCAAAAACGGAGCTGGGGGAAACAACAGCATTTAAGGCTACATAGAAGAAAGGAAAAGGAGGACAAACCTTTGAAAAGCAACTGAAGTAGAACTGGTTGGAGTGCCTTTGCGTTTTATGATTTACTAATTTTAGCAGGTGGAGTGTAAATTGGAAACTCAGTTATAGTAACGATTCAGAAATGATGATATAGTAAGAGTAGTGCTTGCGTATACTGTAGGATCGAGTTGTCAGTGAAATGAACCCCTTGTGGATATGAGAGAGAATAGAAAACAAGGCACAGGTAGAATGTAGAGGGATTGGCCTTGAACAAAGGGAGATACACCACATTGACTGAGAAATGAAAGAAGAATGGTTGAGGAAAAAGCTAATATTTTTGAAAGTCGGCTTTTGTCTGTCATTCTGACTGATTAGTTTATATACCTTCACTTAATCTTATAGCAGCCTGTTTTATGTAGACATTACTGTTTCTTGCTTTATCAGTAAGGAAATTAAAGCTTAGGCAGGATAGCCTTCCCAGGATCACATGTCTTGTAAATGGTGGAAGTTAGTTTGATTTTTTTATGTCCTCCTGTCTTCCTTCACCCCACCCCTTTTCTGCCCTTCCCCTTCAGAATGTCTGCACATAGTGTTATTCCATAATCCATATAAACAGGTGCTGAGTCCTTAAAATAAAGTGGAAATTATTTTTTCTTATAAGGAAATTCTTTAAAATTACTTAATATGTAATAAAAGATGTCGTGCATATCATAAAATGATATATCTTTTTTGCTAAACTAAAAGATGTCAGAATTTTAAAGAAAAAAAGATAATGGATGAGAGGAAAGAACTAAAGACTCTTGTAGAATTGTAGAGTTCAAAAATGTGTAAGAATTTGTCTTCAAATGAAACATTTCAGTAATCATTTCCAGTATATTAGACTCCGGCCCCATTATCTCTTTTGGGTGTTTTAAAATGTAAATATAAAATTGTGGGGTATATCTTGTTTTTATTTTCAGGTGTCTGCTTTCAAGGCAGAGTTTTCATCAGAGGGATGCAGAGAGTTAGGCTTCTCTAGCAACTTGCTCTGCAGCTCTTGTGATCTTCTTGGACAGTTCAACCTACTTCAGCTGGATCCTAATTGCAGAGGATGCTGTCAGGAAGAGGCACAGTTTGAAACCAAAAAGGTAACTTTTTGGTTGTGTGTGTGTCTTTTTCGATTGTTTAGAGATAAGGCAAAGCATAAATTACTTAGCTCAGGTAAAAAACTTAATTTCTTGCCTGGCCCACTAGATTAGTGAAAGCATATGGAAATGAAAAAGGAGATTTCCTACTAGGATCCCATTTTGTCATGGATTTCAAAGAAAGAAGGCAGTATTACTGTTTCTCTCTCCAGTCTTCCATAACTTCTGACCAAATGAAAGTAAAGAGTAATTATATTTTTTGTTTATTTGTAATAAGCCAGTTTTATGATGAGGTTTGACATGAGAGGAAGAGGACAAGGCACAGAATTATATAAAATAAATTATAACTAAATTTGGGTAACACCTGTTAATTTACGCATTATGTTATGACTAATTTCCTAAGATATGAAAATTGATCCAAAGATAGTACTGTTTTTATAAAATGTGTTTTGAACCTACTGTTAAAACTAATAATGCATTTAATCAGTTTTTAAACCTTTTCTTTAAACTTATTCAATTTCTGGAATTTTTAAAGTAGCCTGAAAATATAATTTATGTTATCCAAATAAAAGTGAATTGGAGTTGGACATGTAGAACTCACTGGTAAAGTATTGGCCTAGCACATACACACATGGCACTGCATTCAAACCCCAGCACCATCAGCGAAACAAAACAAAACAAAACCTCTGAATTAGTGAGATCCCTGTTTGGAATTAGAAAAAAGTTCTAGCATCTTTCTAATAAGTTTGTACTTAATCTCTTGCGCATACTGGATTCTGTTTAAGGCGTTACAGTGTGTAAAGCTTTCAAAAAGTAATATTTTCTTATGGTTAGGTAGTTAAAGTTTCTTTCTAATACTGAGTACGTTTTTATAGCTCTCAAAGAAAAACAAGGATATACGCTTTGAAAATATTAGCACTTAGTGTTCAGCCTATTTGATTTCTGAGTATCGTGAACTTGAAATTGCCAATGTCTCAAAGACTGTGGCAGTCTTAACATGGATTTCCTTTCATTGGTTATTATATACCAGTGATACATTTTATATTTAGATTTCCTTACATGTAAGGTAGTCTTTATTGGATATAAATATGATCTTAATCAAATTTTTAAAACTTGACTTTAAATAAATTTAAGGCATAAAATTTAACTACTGTAATATGAACTCCCCCTTCTGATGTGACAAATTGCTGAAGGAATCTAGATAAGTCATTCTCTCCTTATCTTTCCATGGACTACACTACTACTCAACAAAGAGTTGATTGTTTGCTGAGACCCCACACTTGGATTGAATAACAAGGCTTGTTCTATAGTAAACAGTGTGTTTCCTACACACAGACACACCCCTTGTAATTAACAGTAAATTGAGAGGGCCATGGATTTAGCTCAGGGTTGCCACACATGACTCCTGAGTTTTATCCCTGGTACCAGGAAAAAATAAAGTAAATTGAGAGTTCTACCCTTGACTGATATAAAATATATCTAAATTATAACTCAAATACATATGAAAGCTGCTTTTACTTATTACCTTTTCTCAATACTCCTTCATTATACCCCATTTTTGTGATAGTTTTAGTAAAACCAAGATTGGATCACTTACTTTTTTTTTTCTTTTTATTGAATTTATTGGTACAATCTAGGTATACAATACAGTTACATTCATTATTAGGATCCTGTACCTTTACATAATAGGTCTTGATTCTCATTTTTTCCCCTTGTCCCTGCCCTCCCTTCACCCCCTCCTCCCCTCCCCATTTACAAACATTTTATTTCCATTTTTTCAGTTTCTCATATTTTTTTCCTCTCCCTTATTACCTTTCCCCCACCCTTCCCACTTTCCCCACACCTTTAGCCCTTTATTTCCTATTTCACATTATTAATTACCTCATTAGGTGGATCACTTACTTCTAAAGTTAATTATATTTCTGTTCCATTTTCATTCTTAATTGAGCTATGTACTGTTTAGTTCATCTGGCCTTGAACTTAATATATAGCCCAGGCTGGGCTCAAATTCATGGTGATTCTCTTGCTAGAATTACAGGCATGCACTTCTGCACTCACTTGACGATGTATTTCTCATCAAGCATTTACTAGCACCTTTTATACAAAATCAGTACTTTTCAACAGTGTAGCATGTTGAGAAAGCCAACATTTAAATGCAAACTACATTTATAGACATATACAAATAGTACTTGTGAGCCAGGTGTGGTGATGCACACCTGTAAATCCACCACTCAGGAGGCTGAAGCAGTTCTCTATATGGCTATTGGTAACAGTCTTCAGGTGGATCCTCCACACCCAGACCATGCTGATTCAGTTCACCTGTTAGTCAACCCACTACAATGCCTTTTTCGTATATTTCACTTAAATATCCTGGAAGATACTTTAAAATTTGAAAGAATTCTTTGGTTATAATTAATGAACTCTAAACATAGATCTTTTATTTCTACATTTTATTTATTGATTGATTTTGGTACCAGGGATTGAACTTGGGTCCTTGAGCTTGCGAGGCAGGTGGTGGAACCACTGAGCTAAATTCCTGGTCCTCTACATTTTATTTATAAGGATATGATAAGCACTACACATCTACCTAAAAAGAGATTGTTTAGCACTTTTTAGTAATTCTGGTAACTAATATATTTTTTAAGTGAACATTACCATCAGATTAAAATAGGTTCTGGAAATTTTCCTGAGTATAAACATAAATCAAACATTTTTTGTTAAGAATTTTTTAACTTCTGGTCTGGGGATTTAGCTCAGTGGTTCCGCTGCCTGCCTTGCAAGCACAAGGTCCTGAGTTCAATCCCTGGTATAAAAGAAAAAAAGAATTTTTTAACTTCTGATTTCTAAGATTTATAAGATGCAGCATAGTAATTCAATAAGTAAATAAGTAGATTGTTTTTGTTTTTATAGTCTTTCTAATTCAATTAACTTTAATTTATTTTTTATTAATTTTAATTTATTAATAATTTAATTTTTTATGGCATTGAGGTGCTTTTTTCCTCCATCTCTGTATTAAGGTCTCATAGTTTAAGGACCTCAGCCTCTTTCAGGTATTGTTCTTATAGAACTTTTCTATTTTTTCTTCATTATATACCCCTGTTTAGCTAGTACCTTTCTGATATTTTTGTTTTTTGCTTTTTTTTAATCTTGGTTTAGCAAAATCTTGTAGTATATCACTAGTTTCTTTTTTCTTCCTTCAAAATATTTTTATTTAATTGAATTTAGAACTTTTTTACTCATTTCTGAATGATTGGTCTTAAGGTCAAACTTGTTATCAAATCAGAGCACCTCGTAGAAGTAATATGTTTATCTATAAACCAATAAAATTATTCCATTTTAACTTGCTATTCATTCTGTCTTGACTGAATTGGAGTGAGTTTAGATTAGTGGTTGAAGACCCTGGTTCTGGAGTTAGACTATCTTGATTCAGATCCTCTCTCTTAGTTGCTGTTCTTGAACAAATTATTTGATCATTGTGTCTGTTTCCTTGTCTGTAAGTGAAGGATAATAATACTTCTTGTCTCATAGGGCAGTTATGAGAATTAATTGAGGTAATATGCGTATAACTCCTTAAAATTGTTCCTGGCATGTACAGGTATTTGGTAAATACATTTGCCACTGGTGGTAATGACAGTAGCATTACCTGGTTTGGTTGAAAATAAGCAAGAAAAAACAGAAAATTTGGAGAACTCAGATAATATCATAATTATTATTGCTATTGGCAAAGTAGGGCAAAAGAAAATATATGAGAGATAAATCAAAAACTACCAAATTTCCAGTCACAAAAATTTGGAAGAAATTTTTCTGTTTCTCTGCTTCCCAGATTCTTGATCAGCTGAATCAAGAGGAAATATAACAACAGAATATGAAAGTTTTACTATTTGTAACTACTTCTTAATGTAAAAAAATGTAGATCTAAATTGTGGCAAACATAATCCCAAATTTCAGTATTTTGAATCCTGCCAATTGACATACTTTAATAAGAAAATTACAAATTTTAAATTCAAAATTTGTGCCATTTTGTATGCTGCGTGAAATTTTAAAATGTATAAGATTGCATTTTGAAAAAATAAATTTATTACTAAAGTTTTTTTCAATGCCATCATTAAAGTAGAGCTCAAATCAATAAATGGGAGCTCTTATTTATTTATTCATTCATTCATTCATTTTGCAGTGCTTGGTGATCAAACCCAGGCCTTTGTGCATGCTAAACACATGTTTAAGTTTAGCCTGAGCAGCTAAACTTTCTTAGGCCAAGTCTGTTTTAAAAGTTGAGAGACCCATATTTTAAAGTCATTTTAGAATGAAATATATTACTGGTTTTCAACTCTTTGGAATGGTAAGTGGAACCCATCATATTTTTTGAGACCACAAGTGACATTGTAGCGAAGAAATTAATCTATATGCTTAGAAAGTCACCTTATGAAAAAAATGTAGCTAGCAAACTAATCACAATTACTTCTAATTTCCCTATTAACATTCTCATTTATATCATTAATCTACCAGTTAATAGATTTCAAAGATTTAGGAAACATTTTATAAATAAAAGTTTAAAAGTTACTTTTTTTAGAGAGCACTGTACAGATTGAGAAAATGCTGTTTCTTTTATATGAAATATGAAATATCTTGATATCATTCACAATACCAGTAAAAGGTTACACTACAGACCACCAGATCATACAACTACTTATTCTATAATTATGTAGCTCAGAAGTTCAGATACTGGATAAAGTGCTTTTGTCTTCTCTTTAAAATCTAGTTCTCGCCTGGTCACATGGTACAGGCCTGGAATCCCAACTGCTTAGTATGCTGCAGCAGGAAGATTACAAGTTTGATGCCAGCTCATCTCAAAATATTAAGCGTTGCTTAGGTGTGATCCCCAAGTCTGGTGGAAAAACACTTTTCAGAGAGTATAAAAATGATAAATGTATTTATCCTCAATATTACTACATTACATTGGACTTGACTAAATGGACCTAAGCATTATGTAAATTTAAGAATAC